TGTGTGTGTGTGTGTATAATTTGTATGTATGTATATATACAAAACATGCATATGAACACAGATACAAAACATACATATACAAAACATGCATATGAACACAGATACAAAACATACATATACAAACAGATGAAAAAAATGCATATATACATCGATATAAATCATACATATACACAACACAGGTAAAAAACATGAATATACACACACATACAAAACCTTTATATACACAGATAGAAACACATACATACACACAAATACATAATACAAATATACATACACATACCAAACATACACACACCGATACAAATCATACATACACAAACAGACACTCAGATAAAGCCCACCTGAGGCCTATTGGTAGCTCCAATGACAATGACTTGTGTGTCTGTGTCGTTGCTTAGTCCATCCCACAGACTCATGAACTGTGTCTTCAGCATTGCGGTAGCCTCGTGGTCAGCCTGACGCCGTTCACTCAGTAGGGAGTCGATCTCGTCGATGAAGATGATGGTCGGTTCGATCTACGGGGTGTGATAAGGTAGGTAGGAATAAGCGCACTTGATTGGTTGGCTGTGTGTATTGTTTTTGGGTCAGGACAAACTGCCAGACCAATCCTTGCCGGTCCTTTTTCTGTGATAGTAGGTGCAGTCTATAACGCGGTAAGCCGAGGAGTGAGTCACCACTCGTACACACCCCCCACACATGACGACAATGGACTTAAACCTTCAACCCTAACAACACTTACGAAGACTAAAACCTCCCTACACATATTACTACACACAAGTGTAAGCAATAATCATACACACACAGGCTTGCGACATATGTTGCAGCTTACCTTTTCCGCAAGACAAAACCATCCGTGCCCCAGTTGATGCGTCTCTCTATACTATTTATCCGTAAACGTGGCCGCTGTGAATTGTTGAATGCACAGGGCGACTCAAAAGACAATATATGTATATATATATATATATGTATATATATATAAAGATATATATTAAAAGATATATATGTATATATATATGTATATATATATGAATATATATACATAA